CTTGGGCAAGTGACCTTTTGTGCCTCTGTTGCCCCATGTGTAAAATGGGGTAATAGTACATTCCTCTGATCATGTGGGAATTGAATGAATGAATACATTCTTTTGAGTAGAAGTTGCTCCCTGTTAGCTGCTATTATGTGTAACTTTTTCTGCAACATGCTTTTTTTCCCACAATGTCTTAGAGATCCTTGTCAGTGCATTGTGCATTGAATTCCAAAACCACAGATGAACCATAAGCTATTTAATCAGTCTGCTGTTGAGTGACATGGAGCTGGTTTCCTTTCACATGCTTGAGAAAGACTCCCCAAAGCCCGATGCCACGGTTATAGAGTATATAAATGTATTTGAGATGTTGATTCCTTCCAAAAGACTAGCGTGGTAGCATTTTTACAATGTCATTTGTTGTTTGGATAGATAATAGGTGTGTGTAGTGCAGAACTGAAAGGTTTACAAAGACACACAGTCATAGTTTTTAAGGAAGGAAAAAACAACATAAACAATGAAAAATAAATCTCTTGCTTCAGGAAGCAACCATTGCAGGGTGGGTGAGGAGTGCTGGTTCAAGTTGGGGATTAGCTTGCTAGAGGGGGGCACAGTGTGCCAGTGGCAGAGATTCAGCTCTGGACCTCATTTGCCAAGTGCTCTGAGCCTCTGCCAAGTCGTGGGACCACCCAGCACCTTGGTTCTAAGAGAGAAGGCCACAGGGATAACTTTAGAGGTTTCCTTTCCTCCTGGAACTACTGATCCTTCTCATGTTTTATTAGGAGCCCTTTGGACTTTGCTAATAAGATACGGCCATTCTGACTTTGTACCTGGGTCTCTGACATTTTCCATATGACCTGGATAGTGGGGTGTAGGATTCCCCAGTTTGAATCCTAAAAAATAATAGGTTTAGGTCTATTAAAAAGAAAATACAGAAGTTCCGTTTCTGGTGTGGTGGAGTAAATTTCTACCAGACAACCGCCCCACCCCCACAAGTAAACTATATATTCTAGATAAAATACTGAAAATAAAAGCTACTGGGAGGCTTTGGAGAGTTGATCAAAAGCAGGTGGATTTGGGATAGGGGGTGAGTTGAAAGTTGCAGGAAAAGCCCACCTCAGTATGAGCTTTCTGGTATGTGTTCGTTTTTCTGCAGTATTAGCTGGAGAGCAGGCTGCTGCCCCTGGCACTGCACCAGGCAGCTAAACCCAGCTGTCTTACTGGCCTGAAGAATAGTTTAGTATAAAATAAATATTAAATATATTAAATTAATAATACATTAATAATAATAATAATTAATAATATTAAATATTTATAGGGAGAGTAACCACAACAATCTGAAAGGAGAGTGCTAGGGAAGTTCCTTCCCCCAAGTTACATGTATAAATTCAGCCCAAGTCTCTTGCTGACCAGGGTGCTATGGATGTGTGGGGCCAACTCAAAGCAGGACTGAAGAGATCTGGATTTACAGTTACCCACTGCAGCTGGTCGGGTCTAGCAAATACAAATATCCCCACAATAATACCTTTTCACATCCTTTGGAGGAATATAACAGAATCCAGAATGTTCTACAATGTTAACAGAATATCCAGACACAGTTCAAAATTACCTAATTAATATACATAGAATTAGGGAAATGTGACTCATTCTCAAGGGAAAAGATAAGATGACCAAGAGAACCCAAATGTTAGGGGGTGCCTCGTTGGCTCAGTGGGTAGAGCATGCAACTCTTGCGAGGTCGTGAATTCAAACCCCATGTTGGGTGTGGAGCCTACATTAAAAAAAAAAAAAGTGTTGGAATTAGACATGATTTTAAGCAACTATTTATTACAACTATGTTCACTGAGGTAAAAGGAAATTACCTGTGTAATGCTGAAAAATGAGAAATCTTGGCAGAGAAATAGAAAATATTAAAGAACAAAATGGATATTCTAACCCGGAAAACACAGTACCCGCAATTTTAGTGGTAAACCTAATAGAATGGTGATGAGAGACTTCATGCACTGGAAATACATTGGTAGGAATTATCCAGTCTAAAAAGAGGCACAGATTTAAAAAAAAAAAAAAAGTCTTGAAAGCAGCCTGATAAAAACAACACATTACAAGCAGGGGGACTGTGATTCAGGTGTTCCTGGAGTTCTCCAGAAAAGATGGCGATCAGAGACGGAGAAACATCAAGAGGCTGAAGAGAAACTGTCAACCCCAGAATTCTATAACCAGTGAAAACAAGTATTTTCGGATAAAAGAAGCCTCAGAGATCTTGTCACTGGCAGAAATACACTATACAAAATGCTAATGGAAGTTCTTCAACCTCGGGGGATGTTATCCCAGGAGAAACTTGGAACTTCAGGCTGCATCGAAGAGCACTTTCTAGAAATGGTAACCCGGTGGTGAAAGATTGCTAAGGACTCTCTAGCCTCTTAAATTTATTTGCAATCTATATGATTTTGAAAGCAAAAGTTATGCCACTACCTTGTGGGATTTGTGATGTGTGGAGATGTAAGCCGTGTCACCACGATGGCGCCAAATGGTGGGAGGGGTCTGAAGGACCTGTGGCCTATGCGGTGGCCGATTCTACAATGTAAGTGAAGTGGTACAATACGGACCCCATATAGACCGAGGAGAGGCAGGTACTACTAAATGCTGAACTGCTGAGAGCGAAATCTCGGAGGAAGTATTCAAATAATCCACGAGAAGACAGGAAAGAGGGAACCAGAACACAGAGAAAACAAAATTGATAGGCCTCATTCAGCCATGTCAATAGTTCCACTAACTGTTACAAGGGAAAGCAGTTGGTTGTGGCAGTACGAAGCATCCTCTGCAGGGGAGCCAGGCTGCCAGAGAGCTGGGTGTGAACCCCCACCCCCCACCCCATCCCGCCAGGGGCCTTGGGCTCTGCACAAGCATTTAAGCATGATGGAAAATATGGAGAATAATAGAACAAACACCCAGGTACCCACCATCATTTTGCCACCTGCTTTTTTTTTATTTTTGCTCACCATTATTTGTTGCTTGTTCATAGAGTTCTAATTCATTCCAGCTACGTGCTGTTATTCTGTTGCATGCCTAAAGCAGACTTGGACATTTGTGCACATGCACTTCTAAGGGAGGACACCCAGGAAGGCAATTGCTGATATAGATAATTGCATCCTTTGCTTGACAAGCTTTTGCCAAATTCCTTTCCAAAGTGATTGTTCCCATTTACCTTACCCTGATCTTTTAGAAGGGCCGTTTCCCCACTACCAGTGAGGACTACCAGAAGGGACAGACCTGGGATCTGAACCTGTGTCTGTGCCAGTCACGTAGGAGAGGGCATAAGGAAAGCATTTGGCCGGTTGCCTTGTTTTCAGGAGGATAACGGTAGGAGCTCCCCCCCCCCTTTTTTTTTAAAGATTTTATTTATTCATGAGAGACACAGAGAGAGACACAGGCAGAGGGAGAAGCAGGCTCCATGCAAGGAGCCTGATGTGGGACTTGATCCTGGGTCTCCAGGATCACACCCTGGGCTGCAGGCGGCGCTAAACCGCTGTGCCACCGGGGCTGCCCCAGGAGCTCCCCTTATATTAATTAATCACAGGCTTCTTATGCCAGGCAGCGTATTAGGCCTTAGGGCAGCTGCACAGGTGAAGCTTCACCTTGATCTTAACTTGAGGTCTTCTCCCAGATATCACCTGCCTCCATGAGGGCAGGCACAAGATCAGTCTCATTACTGACCTGTTCCCCAGGACTCCTTATGGCGGTGCTTCTGAATAAGTTATAGGCCATTCATTCGTCCAGTAAATATTGAGCTTCCAGGACACACTTTATCCAGTGAAGATAAAGCACCGAGAAAAAGCCCTCTGCCCTTGGGGCTCTTGGATGACTCAGCTTAAGAATCTTGGGCTTGTGAGTTGGAGCCCCACACTGGGTGTGTAGATTACTTAAAACCCGGCCCTCATGGGCCTTTGCTTTTGGTGAGAGTGGTGTAGGGATGCCCGAAGGCAGAGTGCATACAGCGGCACCCACTCTCCTTAGCCACCCTTTGGGTACAACTAGACAGCCAGATGTGCTCCGTGGACTGCCTCTCTCACCTCCTCCCAGGTAGGAGTCACAGAGGCTTGGACCAGACCATGTGAGGAAAGAAAGCAGAAAGAGTATCCACTGTTCCAATCTGATTTTATTGAAAAGGAAACATACAAAAATCATGTACAAAAAAAATTAACCAAACATGTACAGAAAATTCATTCCGGTATCTACAGCAGCGCATATACAGTATTTTACAGGCTGGGCCATCCCTCCCCGCTCCCAGACTCCTCCCTCTTCTGCGATTCCCCCCCTCCCTGACTCCCCATCTTTCCCCCCAGCGCTTCGCCCTGGGGACTAAGGCTGGGGCGGTTTCCGCCAAATATCCCACCCCCCAAATGAATGCCAGTGGTCACACGTGCTCTCTCTAAACCTATGCAATGGGATTGATGGGGGCGGGGGGTGGTCACGGGCAGAGCACAGGATTCACAGTCTGGGCCCCTCCTGGCCACCCCCAGATGAAGGTGAGACAGGCATGCCCACCACCCGCCGGCTGGCTCAGGGAAGATGGCTGGGCGCTGGGCTGGGGCAGCCATCAGACCCACCCCATTCTCTGGCTCCAGGAGGCTAGTGGTCACGTTTGGCTCATTTGCTCTTCACGGGCCCCCTCCCCAGGAGGAGGGGGGGAAGCACCAGGGGCCTGAGGCCAGGCCCAAAGTGAAGGAGCACTGGGATGGAGACTCCCCATCCCAGTGTCACCCCTGCAGCTGGAACGGGCAGCCAGCACCAGCAGCCTTTCCTGAGATGGTGGTGGGCGGCAGAAGCGGGCGGCTCTGTCCCCACCCTCTCCGTCACCGCCGCCTTCAGACGCTGAGTCCGTCAGCCCTCTCTCCCCTGGCTTCTCAGCCAGGGACCCAGGAGTCCACATCTCCATCAGTGCACCCAGGTTAGGCTGGGGCTGGGGCTGGAGTGGCTGCCCTGGTCTGCCCCTGGGACAGGCAGGGCTGGTAGTCCAGTATGCTACATGGTGCAGAAAAAGTCCCCCACACTGGCCAGGGCATCAGGAGGTGGGAGGGTCCTGCCCCCCAAGTCCCTGATGTCCACCGGGCGGGTGCAGGCACCTAATTGGGCTCCATCTCCGGGGCTCCACGGCCCCTGGGTAAGGGCAGGAGTCCCATGATGAGATTGTACAGGACCCTCCAGGGTGAGGGGCGGTGTCGCTGCTGCTCCTCTTGTCTCTAGGGGGAGAGAGAGAAGAGGAAGTTAGAGTGGGCTGTGACAGGGACACATTGGTGGTTAGGCCCAAGGGCAGCAAGGAGGAAGACACAGTCCTCCTAAGAGTGAGCTAGCTACACTCTCAACCAACCCTCAGTGGTAGGTACTATTATTGTTAATTGGGTCTAAATCCCAGCTACTCCCACCACCGGGGGCCCCTGTCGTCATCTCAGGGGAAGACAGCATCCTCATCTAGAACAGAATAGGATGGAGAGGATGCAGACGGAACGCCCTCAGTACAGTGCATGCATCAACCAGCTGCTCCCCTAGGCTCCAGTTTCCAGATGAGAAAGTCACCCAGCCAAAGTCAGCCAGACCTGAGGGTGGGGGAAGCTGGATGGCAGCATGGCCTGGCCTGCCCTCAATAGTGGGAAGGGGGAGAAAAGGGAGCATGTGATTCCCTGTCTCAGTCTAGTCAGATTCCCTAGTCTCAGTGATTCTAGAACAATCTGTGGAAGGACAATAACTGGGAACAATAGTTTACCTTCTGTGCTGAGGCAGGCACAGAAGTATACCCAGGCAAAGCTAACCCCTGCCCTTTTTCCAGTGACAGGATGAAGGCTTGGGGTGGCCTCTAGGACCCTCTCAGTTCCAAATTGCTAGGAAAGTGAAAATGAAGGAAGCTACATAGAAGAAAAGACTCCCCGTGAGTAAAATTAAAGGTAAGCTAGCACTGTCCCACCCCCTATCCTGAGTGCATGGCCAGATGCTAATAAGCAGGACCCACCTAGTATCAGCTCCACAAAAGGAGGAGAAATTCATCTTACAGATGAGAAAATTCATCTTACAGATGAGAACAAGGTCAAATAAACCTTCCTGATGATCCTAGTAGGTGCCAGGGTGTGGGATGCCTTGTACCACTCCCTGCCCCCTCATCACTCCCCACCAGCTCTTGCAGCCAGGAGGTAGCAAAGGGGCCACTTCATAATGGCATCAGTTGAAAAGCCTGCCAGTGTCACACTGCGGTGGGATGCCACCTAGCACAGCCATCTATCTGTGTGAGCAAGCTAGCAATCATCTAGTAAAGCTGAGGAGGACAGAGCACCCAGGTCTCTACTCTGGAGGTACACACAAGTGCACCGGAGATATCCATCATTTGGAAGAGGCAAAAAAGCAAAAAACAAAAAACCCAAGCCAATAAAAATTTGAAAAATTTTTAAAAATCCTAAATATCCGTCAATGAGAAAATGAACAAGGATACTGTATGTCGATCCCACAGAATGCTACAAAGCAGTTAAAGTGTATGAACTAAAAGCTTCCTTGCCCACATGATCAATCTCCAAGCCTAATACAGGGGGGGAAAGTTTGGAGAGGAGCACACCATATCATGTATATTAAGCCAAAAACATCCCGCAAACGTAAGCATTGTTTGTGGCCTGATAAACACGTAGTGAAAGAATCAACACCTGCGGAGTCATGGAACAAGCCAACTTGAGAGGTTTCCTTTGGAAAGGAGGAGAAGAGGGTCAGGGAGGGGAACGAGGGGCTTCACCGCATCCGGGTTTTGTTTCTCTTTCAATAAGCAAGCAGTGCGGGTGCAGTGTTCGGATTGGACAGAGCCGGGCGGTCGGCACCCTGATATTTGTTGTTCTCTGCTGTACGCCACAGGCTTCCAAGGTCTCCTTTTAACGAGAGGCCGCGGCGCGGGCTCGGGGGCGGGGCCTCCCGCGGGGCGGGGCTCCAGGACCCGCCCCCGGCCGCCCGGGAAGCCGTGTGGCGCGCTGCCGGCCGCGCGCGCCGGCGGGTGGGAGGGGCGGGCGCGGCCGCGCCGCCGCTGCTGACTCACCGGCTATAAATAGCCCGGGATATATGAGCTGCTCCGCCGAGCGCCGCCCTCAGTCCCCGCGGCCGCGGGCCGCGGACGCGCCGCGGCGCTCGAGGCGGGCCCGGCCTTTGCCCGGGTCGTGCCAGCCGCGGCGCGGGCCCTTCGGCAGGTCCGCGGGCCCGTCGCCCCTCCCACCTGCCTGTCCCCAGCGCGACCCCGCCGCGCCGGGCAGCAGCTGCCGCACATCTGGCGGGGCCGCCCGCAGCCCCCTCCCGGGCGGGAAGTCCCACCTGCCGTCTGCCCCTCCCCCAACACTCACCCGCCGCTGGTACAGCGCGTTGAGGTCGTCCGCCATCCGCCGCAGCTGGGCCCCGATCTCCCGGGCCCACTGCTCCTCCTCCCCCCGGACTCCCGGGGCTGCTTGGGTGGGACCGCCCGCCAGGGCCCCCGGGGCGCTGGGCACCGGCGATTCCAGGTGCTGTTCCGCCGGCGACAGTGAGGGCTGAGGACCTGGGAAAAGCCGGGGGAGCGCGGTCAGCACCCGCCACCCCTGCTGGCCCTGCGGCGTCCCGGTGGGACCGATTATCCAGGGCCCGCTTCTCCCTTGTCCAGCCTCCCGATTTCCTTTCTGCTCCCCGCCTCATTTCTAGCGGTTCCGTTTTCCCCTCCTGAGGCCCGGTTTCTCAGCTTCTCTCCAGGCACCAGAAAGGAAGGAGAGGTCCTGGGGAGGCCGCTCTGGGGGTTACCTGTCTGGCCAACTACCACCCCACTACCCGTGTGCGTTCTGGAGGTCCTTCCTAACTATTCCAACCTAACTATTCCAAAACGGGGCCAATTTTGCCGACTCCATTTAACGGATGGGGAAACTGAGGCCCACCCTAAGAAGCGGCCCAAGGTCACATAGGGATACGGCGACTGACTACACCCAGTCACAAGCCTCAGGTCTCCTGCCCTCTGGTGTCCAACCACAGTGAAGCCACACCCCCGGATGTGGCAGGGGCACGGAGACCAGGAGGCCAGACTGGCTGCCTCCGAGCGCGGGCCTGGGGGGCTGGGATTCGGGAGATGCCTTCCTGCCCCACCCCCTTCCGAGCTGCCCCGCAGTCTCTTCCTCCAGTCACTGCGAGGGGCCTCAGTTTCCACACCTGTGACTGCAGTCCTGAAATCGCGGCCCCTCTTGCCCCCGCCGCCTGGGAACCCAGCCGGGGAAGTTTGTTCTCCCCTGACCTCCCTGGGCTCCGGGGACAGGGGTGAGGCCTTGGGGGGGAGAGGCAAAGCAGGACAATCTTCCCTGCCCCCGAGCGTGCTCGCTGGGATGGGGCTAGCAGGGCACCACAGGGTTAACAGCCCATCCGGCAGGGGACCTTTAACCCTTCCCTCCCCAAGACTCACTTTCCCACTCTCGCCTCCCCCACCCCCACTTTGCCCACACAATGGCCCCTCCCCCTCCCCTTCCTCCGCCCGGACTGCGGAGAGGGCGGCCCGACCAGAGATGCGGAGAAAGGCAAAAGGCCACCCCCATCCCCCCAAGTCCTGAAGTGACAGTCCTCTCGCTCTGCCCACACTCTCCAACCACAGTCCTCGGGGAGGTTAGAGGAGACCCAGACTAGGGGAGGGGGGCTGCGAAACAGCTGTTGCCCCAGGCCCGGAAAAGGCCGTGGGCCGCAACTCGCGGACTGCAGTCAGATTCCAGGAGGGACTTCCCACTCGGCCTCCCCCCGCCCCCAGCCTCCCACTCCGTCTTCCTGCTTCTTGCAACACAAAGACCACACTGGCCACACCCTCCCTGTGGCCCGGCCGGCTCGCCACCTCCCCCCACTCGCTCCCACTTCTTCAGGGGCTCAGGGGCTCTTTCCCGGCTCCCAGCATCCCGGGGTGCCCGGGTGGGGCGGCACTCACCGTCGGGGCGCGGGCCTCGGGGCCGGCTGCGGGGACCCCCAGGCCAGCGGGGGCCCCCCAGGGCGGCAGTGACGGCGGGCGGGGCGGTGGGGGCGCAGAGGTAGGCAGCGGGCAGCAGGGCAGGGGCAGCAGGGGCGGCGGGCAGGCCGGGCTCGCAGAGGCCGCAGGACACGGCCGAGGGCACCAGGCGGCTGAGGGGAAACGGGCGCGGACCGTCGCGGGCCAGGCCCTCTACGGGCTCCGGGGAGCTGCCTTCCTGGCGTGCTCGGGCCATGGCGCTCCCTGGGGCCTGCAGGACAGGGGGAGAGGGCTGCAGTCAGCAGGGAGGTGCAGGGGGGACACCAGGGCCCCGCAACAACCCCCCCAACCTGGGGTACGCAGGACAACCCCCCCCCCCAGCTCCTGAACACAGCAATCAGCACACTCCAGGCGCAGGGAAACCCATGGAAGGCTCCCACCACACACAGGGCCCAGATGGGGGACTGTGGGCCTGTGTGACGGGGCCCACAAGACACACACCCACCGAGGGTGAGACGCAGGGCACTGGCTGCTGAGGACAGCCTCCCATGCACATGGTGATGGGCACACGACAGGGGCAAGGAGGGTGGCTCTCACAGCAAGTCCAAGGGCTCACACAGGACCCAGATGGAGGAGTGTGTCAGGTGTGTGGGTGCATGAGGGGTGACAGCTCCAAACACAAACTCACCCAGCCTGGGAGTCACACAGGGCATGGGCCGGTGGGGCTAACTTCTGGCTACACACAGGGACTCATGCAGGACCCGAATGGCAGGGACTACTGGAGGGTAGGGGTGTGAAGGGTACACGCCACTTATGTAAGGTCTCGCTCGGGACTTGCCAGGCTGACCTCCCACCTCACCTCCCATTTGCACAGAAATGGTCCCACTCTCTGATACTGGGACCCAACACAGGGCACACACACACAGACCAAAACGTGGACATACACATACACACAGACCATCAGAAGAGTGTACACACAATGCAGATGGGCTGGTACAACCCCCTCCATCCCCACACATATACCAACTGTCAGAATCTTACAAACTGACCACTGTTGATATGCCCACGGACACACACACACAGTGCAGCCATCACAGACACAGAAGCACACTAAATAGGCACTGTCACACTTCAACACACATGCCCCTCCCCCCATACATACCCAAGAGGTAAGACCTGCACACCTCAGGACCCACACAAATATCAACACCACCCAGACATCCATGGACACACACAGACCGACACGACCAAAACACGCCCTCTGGTCCCCATCTGTCAGACCCCAGGACACATGCAAATTAGGCACACACAGACACATGTCATCAGACCCAGACGCCTCTCCACACACGCCGGCAACGACACACAGACGCAGAAGAGCAGACATCAACTCACCCTCCTCCACCAACCTCGAAACACCATCACCAACTGTCAGCCCCGGACACACACACGCACACGCACACACCACAGCTAACTCTAATCCCACACAGCCCTGGCGGCGCGCACACCTAAAGCACCCACAGAAAACACTGGTCTCACGTGACTGACATAAACACTACACACACGCAGCCCACATGACACACATGAGCCAGCCGATCACAGAGACAAGCCCCTCAGACCCAACACACACACACACACACAAGACACACACAGAGGCTCAGACACAGCCCCATACTCTAAGAGGCTGCCAGCAACACCCACTGACTACACTGCACAGACCCCACAGAGCTGAGATCCTCAATTCCCAGACACGGATGCCAGACACACAAGCCAAACACAGACCGAGACAACCCCCACACCACACACACACACACACACACACACACACACACCACAGAATTCACACACACACCTGGAAGGAAAACAGACGTTGCTTTCAGCAGCCACACCATCACAAATGCTTAGCGGAGACACATGCCCTGGAGATATACACAGACAGTCACAGACAGTACACACAGTCAAGACACACAAGCACACACAAACACAGCACATCGGGCAAGACACACACATATAAGCCCTCAAACACAGCCCACTCAAGCAACACACAAACACTCCAACCACCCACTGGAGCGCACACGCAGGCAACACAGACCCATAGAATCACCCCCAAACAGCACACACAGATAACTCTCACCCATAACACAGCGCACACACACACACACACACACACACACAGGTACACCACACATAAACAGCACCCACCCCTTGGGCACGGCATACATAGGAAGAACCTCAGGAATACACACGGGGACTCAAACGCACACCCCGACGGGCCACAGCCCCAACATTCCCCTGGACTGACACCACCACTCCCTGCAGACCCCAGCACAAACTCGGAGCCAGACACACGCACACACCCAAGCGAGACACCTGCAGATCCACAACCCCGCACACGCGCGCTCCCACGGCGGGCCCAGGCTCCCCCCTCTGCTGTCACTGCACCCCCCCACCCCGCCGCCGCCACGTGCGCCCGCCCCGCCCGCCAGGCGAGCGAGAGGCCAATAACCGGCTGTTGCTGGGGCGCAGCCCCCGCCCGCAGGAGCTGCAGACTCCACGGCCCGCGAGCCGCCCCCTGTCGCCGCCCCCAGCGGGCGCGCGCCTGGGGTGTGGCCGCCCCTACCAGCCGCCCCCCCACCGCGCCCCTCCCGGACTGCGGGGGCCGGGGCAGTCGGGGTCGACTCATTTCCCCGGGCCCGCACTGGCCGCCAGGGGGCGCTGCCGAGCCCGCACCCCATTGTTTGTAAACAAACCCGCCAGACCGCTGAGGCACCTGCGCTCCCGGACCCTCAGTGCCTCCCGCCCAGCTACCCCAACCCAGGGTCGTTCGTGGGACGCAGGGTGGGGAGGGAGCGAGGCGCTGTGTGGGGAAGCAGCGCGCCCCCGCGGCTCTCCCAGCGCACTCCTGCCACCTCCTCCAGGGAGCCCACCCGGCCTGGCCCATCGCGGCCGACGGGGATTCGGGGTGCGCACACTCACCCCGGGGGCATGAACACGCCGGAGGGGGCGGTGATGGGGGGCGGGCGGCTTCCTTCAAGAGGGCGCGCCCGCCGAGCGCCGCTCCTTGCGGCGGCTGTTGCTGCTGCGGCGGCGGCGGCTACTGCCGCTCTAACTGCAGTGGCGGCTGCTGCTGCTGTGGCCGCTGCTGCTCCCGCTCGGGCTGGAGGCGCGTCCGCGTCGTGGCCGCCGCCGCCGATCCTGCTGCTGCTGCTGCTGCTGCCGTCGCCGCCGCCGCCGCCGCCGCCAGGCGCCCGCTCGCATGTGGCTCGCGCCGCGTCTCAGGCCGCCCGGCGGATCCCCGGCCCGCTCGGCGGCCGCCCCGCCCCGCCCCGCCCCCGCCCGGCGGGTCCCACGCCCCGCCCCCGCGTGACGCCACGGCCCCGCCCGCCCGCCGCGGACAAGTCGGGACTTGCAGGCGCGCGCCGCGCCCCCCCTACCTTCACGCGGGGGTTTCCCTGCGGCCGGGGGCGGGGCGGGCCCGGCCGGCGGCGAGGAGCCCCGAGCTGTGCGGACCGGGGCCGCCCCGACGGCCTGACACACTGACACACTGACTGGGACCCACAGACACGCGCTCCGGGGAACACAGAGTCACGTGCTGGCAGGCATACGGCCACACGCGCACAAACGCACACCTGGGGCCCGGACGTGGATGTGCAAACCCTCACGCTGACTGGGGCGCACACTCACACGCCCAGGCACAAACACGGAGACCCAATCGCCGAGAAGGCCATGGGGGCCACCCCGACCGACATGGTGAACGGGGCTGTGTTGCAAAACACCCGCACCCACAAACTGTGTTCACAAACATTGCCACGGAGCAGGCGTCCCCAGCACACCCGCCGTCGTCAGAGGCTGAGAGCTTCTCAGGAAAGGCGCGCTTCCTGATCCGTGCAGGTGGGCACACACACACACATACCTGTACAGGGACACCTGGACGCACAGCCTGATCGAGGTGACACTTCTACAGGAACACACACAAACCCACCCACGCCAGTTCACAGCTGACACATCAGAACTGTCAGAAACTGCCCCTCACAGACATAGATCAAATCAGACATAAATAAAAACTGACCCCCAGAACAGTCGCAAGGCACACCTGTAACAGGTTCCTGGTAACTGGCCCACTGATGGGGACACACTCTGGAGCAGGCACATCTAGCCGCGCTTGGCACAGATCTGACGGGGGACCCACAGGGCCAGAAGGAAACCCCCGAGCACCTGACAGGGACATGCCCGGGCAGCCCCTGCATTGATTTGCAGCCTGCCTCCTGGCTTTCAGTTCCCTTTCTCAGTTTCTCCTTGTTACTCTTTCCCTGGCTTGGACTTGGGGATTCCGTATCCTTCCCTCCCTGGAGCTTTGTGTTCCTCTGCACCTTCCATTTCCTCTGTGTCACACCCCTAAGCAAACCACGGGGCAAGTCATCTCTGAGCACCCAGCACTGCAGAAGGGATGCCAAACCTGGGCAAAAGTGGGCTTCTCCTGGGTTCTCGGATTTGGTTCCCTCTGAGTCCAGATTCCTCTATTTCCCAAGGGAAGCAGGAAGCATATATATCCTGTGAAATCTCCCTACTATAAATATTGGGGAGCTGGGGGGCGCCTGGCTGGCTCAGTCCATAGAGTGGGCAACTCTTGATCTCCGAGTCTTGAGTTCAAGCTCCACATTGGGTACAGAGTTTACCTACTTACATAATAAATAAATGGCTCATGCAGCCTCCCTCCCTCATTCCCTTCCTTCCTTCATTCATCTCCCTTCCTCCCAGTGATTTTCAAACTGTGGGTCACGAGCAAACCATGCATTGTGAAATCACTTTTGTGGATCTTACTGTTTTTTTTTTTTTAACTTTATTGAGGTATATTTACACGTAATTCAGTTCATTCTTTTTAGGTGTGCAGTCTGATGAGTTGAGATGAATGTACACTATATGTGTAAATGCGTGTACACCACCACAATCAAAGATTTGGAACATTTCAGTCACCCCAAATACTTCCCTGGTGTCCTTCTACCTGCGACTCAAGTGGCTCTTGACTAGGCTATAAAAAACATCTAAAAAAAACCAAAATAAAACCTCATTAAAAAAAATCTGAAGTCAAAGGAAAATACTTTACTGTGGAAACATTGCTTGTACATAGGGAATACACAGCAGGTCATGGAGAAAGTGTGTTTCTGACTGAAGACCAAGTTTAAAGGTGTGTGAGAAATGCTACTTTGGACATTTATGAAATGAGATCATGCATGGAAGTCACTGAGTGCATTGTCTGACAGAGTGAGCACCTAATAAGCGGTAGCTATTATCGCCCATGTAACTAATGACTGTGGGTGTTTGTTCTGTGCCTGGCACTGATGAAGCTGGGGGACAGGCCTCAGCCCTCGGCTAGCTCACAGTCTATCCTGTGCCCGTTACTCATGGGCCTGTGCCTTCCAGCTGCTCCAATCGAAGACTGGACACCAGGAGACGAGATGCTGGGGTGTCCTGACCGGGGTGGGAGACTGGAGGGGAATGAATGTGAAGAACCGTAAGAATCTGGCTTGGTGGGTAGAGGTGTGGGCCAAGAGTTTTCCCAGGCCATAGTATTGTCACCAGTCAAGATCCTTTCCACTGTCTAGTCCAGATCCTGTTCCAAATTCTGGCATCCTATTACCCCGGACCAGAGGGCTCAACCTCAAGGGCCATGATTAAATAAATGAGAGAAATGAGTCCCGTGTAAGACCATAGGGAGTGGTGGGGACTGTAGCTAATTGGAACAAGTGTTTTCCTTCTAGAGATGTACAAACTCCAGACTAAACACTGTGTGGGGGGGATCCCTGGATGGCGCAGCGGTTTGGCGCCTGCCTTTGGCCCAGGGCGCGATCCTGGAGACCCAGGATCGAATCCCACATCGGGCTCCCGGTGCATGGAGCCTGCTTCTCCCTCTGCCTGTGTCTCTGCCTCTCTCTCTCTGTGACTATCATAAATAAATAAAAATTTAAAAAATTAAAAAAATTAAAAAAAAAAACACTGTGTGTGGGATGCCTGCGTGGTTAAGCGGTTGAGCGTCTGCCTTCGGTCCAGGGCATGATCCTGGAGTCCCGGGATCGAGTCCTGCATTGGGCTCCCTGCATGGAGCTTGCTTCTCTCTCTGCCTGTGTCTCTGCCTCTCTCTCTCTCTCTCTCTCTCTCCCTCTCTCTCTCTGTGTGTGTGTCTCTCATGAATGAATAAATAAAATCTTAAAAAAAAAAAAACAACACTGTGTGGGCAAAGAAAAAGAAAGTTTGTGACTAGCTTAAGGACTGCCCTTTTGAGACCTCTACCCTAGGGGTACAGAAAAGGAGATGGCCCAACCTGCGTCTTCCAGCCTGCATTTCCCCACCTCCACCTTTACTTGGTCTCATGAGTGACCAAGGGACTCCCTCTGAATTCCCAGAAGAGCATCCTGGGCCTCCTTTCCACCTTGCCTCTTTGGTTCCTGCTCCACTGGATAGGGGACAAGAGTCTCTTTTTTTAGAGGGGGGTGAGGACACAAGGTATCTCTTAAGATTGGAGGGTCACCCACACCTCTGATGGAGGGTGAGAAACCGAGGTACAAAGAGATACAGAGAGGGAACCCTGCGTGGCGCAGCGGTTTGGCGCCTGCCTTTGGCCCAGGGCGCGATCCTGGAGACCCGGGATCGAATCCCACATCGGGCTCCCGGTGCATGGAGCCTGCTTCTCCCTCTGCCTGTGTCTCTGCCTCTCTCTCTCTGTGTGTGACTATCATAAATAAATAAAAATTAAAAAAAAGAGAGAGATACAGAAAGAGACAGGAAGACTCAGTTCAGGGAAGTGGAGAAAGTCAGAGAGTGAGGAAGAGACCGGCTGGAGAGAAAATGAGAAGGGCCTGTGGTGGGGTGGTTGTCGGGGACGAGGGTGGTAGTGGCTGGTGGTGGTGGTGGTGTCAGACTTGGTGTAGACCAGGGTTTCTCAACCGCCTCTCTATTAGGGGCCAGATGTTTCCTTGTTTTGGAGACTGTCTTGTGCCTTGTAGGATGCTCAGCAGCATCCCTGACCTCTATCCACTAGATGCCAGTAGCACCCCCGCTCCCACTTTGTGACCATCAGAAATGTCTCCAAACATTGCCATATATCCCCTGGGTGGCACAATCACCCCTGGATGAGGACCCTCAGGCAAGAGAAATCAGTCAGGATCCCCATAGCTGTGGCCCATCCCTCCAAAGCCGGCTGGGAGAGCTCACCAGAGAATGAACTGTGTGGCTCAATGACCGGAGTTAGGATTGTCCCCGAGCTCTGCCACCAACTTGTTGTGTGGCTTTGGGCCACTGGTCATGTCTTTGAGCCTCAATTTCCTCTGCTTGGAGTTGGGACAGCACAGGTCCCTTCCTCAAAGGATTTTGCAGAAGGTCGATAAAAAGAAAGCAGTAGGGCCTAGTGGATAATTAGTGCATGTAACCCATCATGAATGCTACCAGTGTGGGGGTCTACTGACTCTCTGAGACTCCAAACAAGGATTTCAAGCTAAGACCCAAGATGGGCGAGGGTCGCAAGCCAGGAGCCCCACAGGCCAGCCACTAGTGTGCTTTGCTGGACCTGCACAGTTTCTCTCTCTTTTTTTTTTTTAAGATTTTATTTATTTATTCATGAAAGACACACACACAGAGGCAGAGACATAGGCAGAGAGAGAAGCAGGCTCCATGCAGGGAGCCCGATGCGGGACTCGATTCCAGGTGTCCGGGATCACATCCTGTCCAAAGGCAGGTGCCCAACCACTGAGCAGCCCAGGCGTCCCAAGTTTCTCATTTTGAATATGAATGCCTCAGGGGCCCCTGGCTGGCTCAGTCAGTAGAGCCCTGGTCTCTTGATCTCGGGGTTGTGAGTTTGAGCCCCACGTGGGGCACAGAGATACTTAAAAAATAAAAACGATAAAAAAATAATTTGCAAGAAAGCTGTGAGTATGAATGCCTCTCAAAGGGACATTCGGCACAGTGAAGCGATAAAAGCCCCAGACTCCGGATCCAGGCTGCCTGGGTTCAAATGATGACCTTGACCAAGCAGCTTTCCCTCCCTGTCTCCGTTTCCTTGTCTGTAGAAAGAGGGGCAGCACGGGACCCCAAATGAACTGTGAGGATTACGTGGGTCGATGTTCGCAACGCACTTACAACAGTGCCCTGCAGTAGTGGCCTCCGTGTGAAGCGCTGGTTCTAGAAAATAAATGTCCCAGCTGTCTTACTGCAGACCCACACCACCTTCCCCAGGATCTCGTAAGCCATTCCGGGTGAGATTTCGCAGATCGGGGAGAGGGAGTTGGGAAGGACTTAACTTTTCACTGCAGGGCCTGAGTCCTGGCTTCGCGCGGTGGGGAGGGGGGCCTCCTGGGTTCCCGGGTGCAGCCGGCCTCCCAGGCCCCGGGGCTGGACCGGAGCCGGGTGGGGGCTGGGCGGGGGCGCGGGTGTCCGCAGGGTCCGAGCGGCCGGCGCGTGTGAAGGTTACCGCTCCCCGGCGGGGCGGGGGCCGCGCGCTGTTGCTGGGGTCTGCGGGGCCTGCCTGCGCCCGCGCCCCCCCTCCTTCCCGGCCAGCCAGTGAGCGGTACCCGCCGCCGTTGCCAGGGGAAACTCGCCGCCCCGTTACCCAGCAACAAGCCTGGCCCAACCAGGCGCGAGGACCCCCAGGCCCCGCCCGCCGCTGCCCACCGCGTGCCCAATGCCAGGCGGGCAGAGCCGGCCCGGCTCCCGGAGACGGCGAGCGCGCTCATTGGCCGCCGCCGCGCCCGCCCGCCCGGATCTGGGGGAGCCCTCGGCGCGGGGGGCGGGGAGCCGGGCCCCGGGGAGCTGCCGGGCGCACGGCCTGCAAGCCTGCGGCCGGCTGGGGTGAGGCCCGGGCTGGGCACCGTCCCATCCCCCTCCCCCCGCACACCCCACCCCGCGCTCCCGGGCGAGGATGGGCACTTGGGATGGGCTGGAAACAGGCGCTGCGCAGCCCGTGTCTCCACCCGCCCGGAAGGTACGCTGGAGTTGGCCTTGTGAAAACGGGGACCGAGAGCCCCCCCTCCCAGAGGAGCCCTGGGCGTCCTGACCCCCACCCCAAAACAAGATTCGGGCATCTTGAAAAAGAAGCTGAGGATTCTCCGTTCCTCAGAAAAGGACCCAGAGTCCTGACCCCATAAGGAGTGCCCCCGCCCTCCCCAAAGGACCCAGGCATGCCCTCCTCCTGTGACATCAGGGTATGAGTTCCAGCACCCCAGGGAATTAGTTTCCCAGTCCCGGGAAACAAGGGCTGAGGGTGCCCCCAAAAGGGGACTCCAGGCCTGTCTGATGCTGTAAAAGTTAGGATGCAGCATCCCCACTCCCCCCACCTCCCCAAACAGGGACTTGGGCTTTTGGGCCTCAGGCTCTGAGATGCCCAGATGGGCATCCTGGCCCTCACCATTATTGGTACTGGAAGCCCCTTTGCCCCCAACAGTCCCCAGACTCTCAGGTGTCCAACTCATCCAGATGAACACCTGCCCAGACCCAGGGTGCAGATCTGCTAGCTTCCACCCCCTGTCCCCAACCCTTTCCCCCAGGGTCAAGCTTGTTGATCTCCCAGGACTCGGGCATCTGACCCCACAGTCACCCTTTGACTCCATGGCACCCACCGCTCCCCCCCCCCAGGGTACCACGGACCTGGGAGTCTAAACCCCCAGTCTCTCAGACACCCCTCCCTCCAGACACCTGCCGAGGTGACCCAGCCCCTCACAGTGGTGCATGGGGACTCTTCCCAGTCTTGGGACCCTAGAATGCTCTGGACCCCAGGTCTGGAAGTTCCAGCCTTCCAGTGCCTTTAGTTGGCCACCAGGGATCCAGGACTGGGAGCCTCCAGCCTCCAGGGACCCTGACATGAGTCCCCAGGCCACTCCAGAGAGCCTCAGAGTCCTTAGTCCCCACCCCAGAGAGACCCAGGGAGCAGAGCCCCTAGCTCCAGACCCTGGTGAGCCCAGGTGCGGCCCGCCCCTACCCCGGTACCTGGGGGGGGGCGGAGTCGAGGATTACTCAGCCTCCAGAATGAGGCGATGACATCATCCTGGGGGGGGTTGACTAATGGCCGCGCTGGGGGGGCGGGGAAGTTTACCCGGTAACAGCGGCTGCCGCATGGCCCCGCCCCCCCAGGAAGGGCCGGGAGGGGGAGGCATAAGCACACGCACACACACACAAGCCCACTCAGCACACCCACCCCCTCCAGCATCCCACATTGCACACATCTTACTGGGGCAAGGGCAAGGATGGGGGTGGTGTTTGTGTGACTGTGTGTTTGTGTACTGGAGAGTTCTCTGGAGGTCTGTTGGGTCAGTGTGCTGTGTGTCAAAGGGTTGACATGTGAGGGTGGTGGTTGTGCCAAGGTGCAGTGTGTGGGTGTGTGTGACTGTCAGTGTGCCACTGTGTAGCAGTTAATTGTGTGTGTCAGGAAGATGGTGCTGTGTGTCAGCCGGCTACGTTTGTCCCATTGGGTGTCTGTGACTGTGACTGCGTGTCAGTGTGCTATCCTGTGAAGTTCTGGTGTGCTGTGTGTGAGTGTGATGGTGTGTCTGTGTGTTGTTTGTGTCAATGTGTTGTTTTGTGCAGTGCACTGGTGTGCATGGGTGAGGTGGTGTGTGTCCATGTGATTGTGGTTGTGTGATTTTGGGATTGTACATGAGATGGTGTGTGTCCATGGTTGTGTGTTTGTGTGATGTTGGGATTACATTATGTGTTGGAATGATGTGTGTTAGTAGAAATGTTAGTGAAAGTGCTGTGTCATTGTACTCTTGTGTTAGTGTGATTGGGTGGGTGCATTGGTGTATCCTCTGTGGTGTAGTGTGCTGGGTATGTTGTATCACTGTGATAGTGTGTGTCATTGTGCCTTGCTGTGTGTCAAGGGGAAGATGTGAATGCACGTCACTATTATTATGTGTGCCTGTGTATAGTGGGATTGTGTGTGTAACACTATCATTGTATCTAAAATGCTGTGTGTCTGTGGGACTATGTTACTGAGAGTATGTGCATCTGTGTGACACTGTGGCTGTGTGTCATTGTGATTATGTGTGTCATTGTGTGTGACAACTGTGTTGTCAGAGTGATGTTTTGTGTCCATGGGACTCTATATGTGTTAATGAGACGGTGAGTCTCTGCAATATTGTGTGCCACCGTGACTGTGTCATTGTGATTGTGTCATTGGGATACATGGGCTATGGGATTATGAGGGTGTCACTGTGATCGCGTGTGTCACTGATACTACGGTGTGTTGTAGGGACTAAGTCACGGAGACTGCGTGTGTCGGGGCGATGAGGCCGCGTGTGGGGGTAAAGTGTGTGGTTGCGATCGTGGCGATCGCGGGTCTGGGCAGCGCTGGACGTCCCGAGCCTGCGCCTGCCGACGCGGATCTGGTGTGTGTCGGCGTGTTCCTGGCGAGGGTGCGTCCGCGCGCGGGTCCCGGCGACGGTGCGGGTGTGCGGGGGCGATGCTGCGCGTCCCTGTCCCTGGGACGGTGCGTGTGCGCGATCGTGTGTCGGCGTGCTCCGCTGGGGGTCGGGGGAAGGTGCGCGCGTCTCCGGGCCTCCTGCCCGAGAACAGCGGCGCTGCTCGCTGATTGGCTGCGGCCTCGCCAGTGAGCAGCTCGCGAATCCTGCGGTAACTTGGTAACTCGGTAACTCGGCCGCCGCCGCCGCCGCCGCCGCCGCCCCGGGGGTGGGGGGAGGGCCCGCCCCGCCCCCTCGCGCCGGGGCCGCCCCCGCCGCGACCCCCGCCCCGTGACCCCGCTGGCTCCCCGCGGCCTGGCCTCATCCCTCTCCCTCACCTCCGTCTCTGTCCCGCTCCGTCGTCCCCACCTTGCTCTCTCGCTCTCTCCGCGTCCCTGCCGCCCCTTTCTCTGCCTCTGTCTCTCCACTGTCTCCCCATCGCTGCCTCTCCCTGTCCCTCTCTGTCTCCCCCATCTCTTCTCTCTCTCTCTCTGTCCCTCCGTCGGACTTCGCCGAGCTGTCTCGCCTCTCCGTCTCTGTCTCCCCTCCCTCTGCCTCAGTCTCCCCATCTCTGTCTCCCCTTCCCTTGTCTCTCCCACCTCTTGTCTCTGTCTCTCCCTCCCCCCACCCGCTTTCTCTCTCACTCCCGCAGCCATGCCCAGAATGCACTTTTCGTTCTGCCGAGGCAGTCAAGGGGGACTATGCACGGCTGCATCCTCGCCCCTCCCCGCAGGCCTCGGCTTCTGGCAGCAGGCCCCACGCAGGGCAGACTTCAGGAAGGACTTCCCGCCCTGGCTCAGCACCGGAGCTTTATCGCTCGGGCCAGGCGGAGGCCAGGCGGCCCCGTGGCTTCCGGAGGCGCCCGGGCGGGATGAGCTCACTGCTAGTTGGCTTGGATTTCATCAGCTTCCTCTGCTGGAGTTGCCCCCGCTCCTTTTCCCGCGCGGGCCGCGCTGACGAATCCTTCGGGCGCCTGCTGCCCCCCAGCGGCGGAATGCGGAAGCGCAGGCGCCGCGCAAACCGTCCCCTTTAGCCGCTGACCACCTCGTGGGTCATGAATGCTGCAGATATGAACCCCTTTAATCCTCACAACGACCCCACGGGGTAGAGACTATCTTAAGTTCCATTTACAACTGAGGCCAGAGAACTGAGGTCGGTCGCCTAAGGTCACAGGGCCGGTGAATGGAGCCCTCTGGGGACTGACACGGGGAAAGAAGGGAATGCGTTCCACCACCAAGGTGTCTGTGCTCATTTCCTCTTACATTCATTCTTTCAGCAGGGCTTTGCTGAGGACCTCCTCTGTGCCAGGCCTTGCGGTAGGCACCGGGCATCCAACATGGAACAGACCAGACAAAACTCCCTGTCCTCATGAGGCTGACACTGGTCTGGGAGAGACAGACAGTAGAGAAAGAACATAAGTAACAACGCAAAGTGAGTCTCGAAGTTGAAAAAGGAACCAGGGAAGAGGGCTCAAGGGTGTTGAGAATGTTCTTATTCACGAGGGAGATCAAGGGAGCGATAGTTCAGTAAAGGTCCAAAGGAGGTGAGAAAGCAAGGAGTGCCCAGACAGAAGGAAGGGCAGGTGCAAAGGTCCTGAGGCCAGAGTGGGCATGTCCAGGATGGTGAGGAGCTCCCATGAAGCTGGAAGCGCTGGGAGCTAGTGAAGAAGGGGAGAGGGGTGGGAGGTGAGGTCTGTGAGGGAGTTAAATGAAGACTTCTGCTTTTACCCTGACAAGGTGGGAGCCACTGGGGGGCCCTTGGCAGAGGGAGACGAGCTTATTTAGTTCTGACAGGTGCCCTCTGGCGGTCAAGTGGGAAACAGACTGTGAGCAGAGAGCCGGGAGCTCTGCGAGGAGGCCACTGTCTTAATTCAGGCTGGGGTGGTGATTGTGGGGTCAGATGGAAGGGGGAGCCAATGGCATTGGCGGAGGCATTGGGTGCAGATGAGAGGGAAAGAGAGAAGTTTGGGCAACTCCAGGTTTTGTCCTGAGTAGCTGGAAGGAGAAAGGGGCTGAGAGAAATAATAATCGTAAATAATGGCAGTAATGCTATGCACCTGCTGTGTGCCCCACCTTGTTAAATCCTCTAACTATCCTGAAACGCAGGAGGTGGGGTGGGAGATTTGGGAGGATTCTGGATTTATTCAGATTTATATATTTGGAAAGTGGGATCTCCATAATTTGTTCAGTAGCTATTGGTGAATTCAATGGATAATTGCAATAATAGCAAAAAATACATTGTGTGTGGCACTGTTCTTGGCACTTATTTAATCCTTACAACATGTTATCATGAGTTCCATTTTCCACCTAGAGAAACTAAGTCACAGAAAGAGTAGGTATTTTGCCTAGCACGATACTACTAATAATTATAATCGATTCATTATAGAAATGGTATAGTGAGCTCTGGGAGTTAGAAAGATCCCTACAGGTTCAAATCCCAGCTGGACGTGTGACCTTGGGCAGCTCACAGTGTCTCTGGGCTTTGGTGTCCTGCTTCGTAAAATGGAAGTTAGAGGAGTACTGTTGGCACAGGGATTTAGGATGAGCTCCGGAGGTAATTCATGTAACAAAAGGGAGGCTGCCACACAGAAAATGCTCTTTAAACACTATATTAACTAACTGGAATTAAAATAAAGACTAAATGTATAGGGCAGCCCTGGTGGCTCAGCGGTTTAGCGCCGCCTTCAGCCCAGGATGTGATCCTGGAGACCCGGGATCGAGGCCCACGTCAGGTTCCCTGCATGGAGCCTGCTTCTCCCTCTGCCTGTGTCTCTGCCTCTCTCTCTGTGTGTGTCTTCCATGAATAAATAAATAAAATCTTAAAAAAAACACAAAGACTTAAAAAAAGTAAATGTATATATATATATATTTATATAGTTTATAATGTATATATGTATACATACATATATATACTTATATAGTATATATGTGTGTATACATACTATACTCCATGCAGGGAGCCTGACGTGGGACTCGATCCTGGGACTCCAGGATCATGCCCTGGGCCGAAGGCAGGTGCTAAACGGCTGAGCCAGCCAGGGATCTCCATATATATAGTTTAAATGTTAGTACAGACCCTCAGGGTTGGGGATACAACAGTAGGTAAGCCTGTTGGGACTTTAAAGCAGTCG